ATGGCGGCCACCAGAGCGATATATGCGATGTTTTCAAAAAATTGTTTTAGAAAAATGGATGCTCTATCCCCTTTAAAAACTGGATTTTTGGACTTCTCAAATGATGTAGTTCCTCTTAAAAATGGGTCATTTTGGAGGGTCAGTTGTCCTTTAACCCCTTAACTGCTTACTTAACCCCGCTCAGAATAGTTATGGGTGATCACATCACAATAATACAATGTATATTTTGTTCATGTTAAAGATCAAGAGTTTGAGTTTTTTAAAAAACACAAAAGGTGCATGCATAATGTATAACAATAAATTAACAAGAACATATTTTGATGTTTCATTTTTACTTACATTACCTCTATAAAGAAAACCTCAAAACCTTTAGCTCTGGATATATAAATGAGCAGTAAAAATTAGGTTGAAAACTTTGTAGCCTTTGTAGTCTTGAACTTGAACTTATTTTTGATATTTTGTAGTAAGAGTTTTTAACATAATTCCCTATGTCACCTTTGTAAACAAAAAGTCCATGCTTTTTTATTACCTAATATGGTGATCATTGAATAATAGAAAATATACTGAATGTGATATCATTGAACAAATAGTGGTGTTTATTCAAGAAAATAGTGATGAAATAATGAAAGATTTGCAATTTTTTTCCTAGATGCTAAACTTAAACAACGATAGAATAAGGAAAAGGCAAATGTAAAAGTAAATGCATCTTATCTATATGAGTAAAGTATATTTTAAAATACATGGAGTATTTCTAGAAATGACTAAATTTGGGATCAGTAGTTAAATATTAGTAATGGTGGTTTTAATTATCTGTAAGAATATAACTAAGGAATTATACATTTTTAACAAAACTGCAGACATTAAAACAGATAAAACGACATTTCAGAATTTTCACTATTAGCAGAAATGACAAAACTTGCAATGAAAATAAAGTGGCAATCTAGTTGGATAAAATGGCTTTCTCATATAGGACTAGGTAGAATAATATTGGGGTTGAAGATCTAAGAAAGAGCATGCATGATTGAAGAAATGTAAGTTGTAATTTTACATGATTTCAATGGCTTAAATAACATTTTAGAAAGTGCACTATTTCCAGTAATGACTAAAAATCCAATTGGAAAAGCAGAAAATGGAATAAATAGGCCTTTATTAGATAAAATATTTGTGTTGCAGATTTAAGAAAGAGTATGATTTTAAAATGTTATTTTACACAATTCAATCATTATGTTCTAAAAGTAAGTTCTGTGTTACACATATTGTAGAATGTCATAATGACAAATATTTTCACTGAAACGAAATTACTAAAAGCCAACGCAAAAGAAGTAGTTCGACATTATATATGCTGCTATTTAAATTGCAACTAACAATGTATTCTCAAGTGTATACGTTCATTACTATGGCAATAGCAAAACAAATATTCATTAAAATGAAGTGCATCATCAAGATATGCTAAAATATGGAATTTTCTTCTAATATTTAAATGAGCTCAATAATCAATAGACATGGGTTCCAGAAAACTATGGATACAGTAACGTTATCATAAAAACAGATTATGGTTTTCTGCAGTTTTTGATATTCTGAGAACTATGAGAATTTCAACTGCTAGTTGAGAAATTTTGTTTTTTCACTGCTCCAAGTCAAAAGCATAAAAAATACCAACTGATTATTTTTGATTGACAGCAGCAAAAAAATTTCAGCATGCAGCTTTTAACTCCCAAGTTCGCAGAATATCAAAAACCGCACTTAACATGCAGGCACTGTAGAACAACCACTAACAAACCAATATAAGTACTGTCCTATTTGTGCTATACATGGAAATGCATATGTAGACAAAGAAAAGAGCTATATTTATTTGTCCTAGGTAATTGCCAATTTCCTCCAGTTTTCATATCAATTTCATTTATACCTCAGCCGTACCGTCTGTAATATTTATATGTAAATGTTAAATGTATAGCTTTCTAACTAGATTAACTTTTTAGTTATTTTAGATAGCTTGTTTCTTACGTTCTGGACAATTTCTCTTTAATATATTTGATAAATGTAAACATTGAGGTACTAAAATAAAATCTATGTCTACATTTATGTCTTTTCTGTGGTATGTCCTCAAGATATTCGCCAAAATTTTTTCGTCATCTAACTGCCAAAATGCTTAGCCTCATGAGTCCACAACATATTTTGATGGCTAGATGACAAAAAAAGTGGTAAAGAGGACATACCAATGAAAACTGGAGGAAATTGTTTTTCATATCACAAAAAATTAAAAATTTTACTACAAAAACAAGGGTAAAATTTGAAAGAAAAACGGGGTTTCAAGCGCGCCTGTGATTTGCTGACGTAATTTATTGCTATGTCCTCCTATTTCCCCTGGCTCTAGACCAATCAGAAAGCAAGAAAATTAACAATAGGGGTAAAATGTATAGTTTATGAGTATCCTGTCCATTTGACATAAGGGATAGATTGATGGGATCATACTACAGTATAGCATTTTATCATAAGTAATTAGTAGTAATGTCATTTATTTTTCTAATTATTAACCAATGACAGACATTTATTGTCTCTAATTCAATATTTTATGGAAATGAAGAAATAATAGGGTTCAAAAGAGTTGGATAATCAGTGGTATATAGTATTAATTGCAGAATTGAAAAAAAATTCCTTCAACTGCACATCATACGTACATATAATGCAAAAGTGAAATGACCAATTCAAACATCATTTCAAATGCAAATATTTATAAAAAATATACATAGATCTGTGAGGTTAAGGTAATAATATTTCGATAAAAATGAGTAATAACTAGTTTTCGGGACAGGATTTATTAAAACAATTGTTAGAAATCTTAAAATTATAGGTTCTCAACGTATTGACCCCTAGGGTCAAAAGCAATGAGATTGAATGAAAACAACTCATAATGGAGCCAAAATGACAATAGGCTTAGCAAATGAAGCATTTCCCACAATAAAAATCATTTTAAGAAATCTTACCATGATCTAAAGAAATCCGAGATGAAATATGGCTACCAATGGAATAAAACAACAGACGTGAACTTTAACATTTTCACCAAAACACTTGGGCAACCATTCAACTGTAGGGAAAAGTTCTGAAGCGAAACTCAAGGAAATGATTTTGGAAATATAAAATACTAGAAAACAAATATCCCCTTATGATAAAAATATAAAAAGCCCAAATGCATCGGAAAATATTTCATATCGTAGAAATTGTTTTGTCAACAGATACACGTGTAAAGTAATCTAATAACTCTAAAATCGATCTCGATATCGACATTTTAAAAATAAATTTTAAGTTAATACTTTTAAAAATTATCTATCTAAAATGCCTTTAAGAGGATATATCACTATGGAATCCTATTGAGCTGGGTGAACTATATTAACCACTGTTATAAATCAGAATTCAATTGAGATTTTTAATAATTTTTGCTTCCACGAGACAGGCGCTATTTTTGGAATCCCTGCAGACTAGATAAACAAGCGGACTCTAAAATTAAAAATATGGATTAAGTTTCTTCCTTATATAATAAGCATAATATTAAACCTTAGGGAAAGTGTCGAAGAATATGAAATGCTTGCTTTGGCGACAAGGAAATAAAATAATTCGATTGAGCGAACGCGAAGAACATTCTGGAGATGAGAACTACGTGACCCATTACAGTCGTCACTCAATCGATTCAAAAACGAACTGTTGCTCTCAATTGTACAACGAAAAACAACAAGGACGATTCTATCAAATGCTGGTTGTAAAAAGACATTGGGGCATAATTCCTAGAGTGTAAAGCTTACCCATTTTGTTGTGGTTTATCTCGCCAACCGGCGAGACACCATTACTGAAGGCCGAAATGGTTCGGCTGTCGTCAAAACCAACTTGTTTTTTCCCGAAGTTTTTCTATATTTTTCGTCCAAATCAAATACGAAGCCTTCCTGCAAGATAATTTAGACTCGATATATCCTGAGATAATCTAGAAAGTAGTAGATGTAAGAATGTGTGTTCATGAAATGCAGAGGTGGAAAGCTTCGGTATTTCTTCTCTGTCGTCATTCAGATCACTGGGAAGACGGCAAGGCACTTGGTAAGCGGGATAATTTGAATCAATAAGAAATCATTTTTACCTTCTTAAGCCATCCTAAGTATAACCCATAGCCTTGTGGTGTGTTAGGATATTCTTCGCAGCATGTTAGAGGTCTTTAGTGAGCTGCTTTTCTTCTTTTTTTGAGCGGTGATTCGGTATTTTGACGGCGAACATGGACGGCTTCTTGCATTTCTCGTCCGACTAACTCTCCCCTACCCCTCCCCCGATCGGTAAATTTACCTAGTTCCAGTCCCTCCACTTCAATAGTCCAAAGTTGCCAAAAAGTCGGCCAAATACCACCATTCATTAATAAAATATTAGAAATTGCGTACTTCTAACTCCACAAACACTGTTATTAGACGAGGAGAGCTTCGTTAATTATTTATTGCATAAATACCGTCACAAACTGGAGCTCATAGTCGTCACGTAGCCTAGTGAGTAGTAGAAAGAAAAAGAAATGAAAAAGAATAAAAGAATGCACGGAGGATAAAGAAATGACTTCTTAAGACTAAGATGGTAAAAATAAAGAGAGCCTTTGACCACTGAGTATTCTTTAGGAATTCTACATTCATAATTATCCAATATAAAAGTATACAAATGGTATGCAAAAATTCATGTGACGGACACCGAAGATAAAAAGGCGACCAATTCGGTTCTGGCATAAGCTGACTAGCTTCTCACACATCTGAAAAATAAACGCTTTCATGTTTCCACGTGAACACGAGGCTAGTCCATGGTTCATTCACTGAATTTGTCGCCATATTTCGATTCGGTGAGTAGTAATCTTTAGGTACTAGCAAGGAGCGTTGGGGCGGTACGGTATGCAATTTGAGTACTTTCAAAAGGGGGTGGATCAATGGAACGTTCCGGGCTGGAGCTGAATACTTTGCCAAAATCAGCTGTTCATTCAGGAAGGAAGCTTATCGGCACGATGACACATTAATCTTTCACCATATCATCATTTGGCAGTGCACTTATAGTTTTTGCAGCTTTGCTTTCGAAATGATGGTTGGTGGTTGGTCATCCTTGACATCAGTCAGTTTTGGTCGAGTAGACGCAACATCAACATGTAATTCAAGGCAAAACGCTTGTATTAGATGAAGAGCTCAGAAGTCCTTGTGACTTTTCAGTTATTATCTTCACGGGCTTTAGTTAACTGCCATAATTTGACAAATCCGAGGGAATACGAACATCAGTTTAGTCTAGATAGACCACGTTCCGGGCCTCTAATCTAGATTCAGTTCACCCAAATAATGACCTGTCGTGCAACACGAAAGTTCCAAACTACGGTGGGTCATCTTCCGTCTGGAGTATAGAGTAATCCTGTACTTGCCATTAAGCGCTATTAAATAAACCTCATATCGAACAAAAGACCACTTTCTACTATCCGGGACTTATCAATTAATATATTTGTGGCCAAAAATATCAAATTTTAATGTATTTTGAAATTGATTTGATTTTAAGCCAGGGTAAATAGCTGAATGAAGTCAATGATGAATAATATTTCCAACTTAAAGCTTTATCTTGCCTTTAAAGACCTAAATAATGTCTATGAACCATTTATAATTCTTAAATTCACTAATTAACCTTGAACCCGAATGAATGACAATGCTCATGCCCGGCTTAAGTGGAGTTTTTCCACTATGACGTGAATTTTGATTCGATAACTAGATATTTTTAGTATGTCGATATAAACAGATAATGACAAGGATAAGATAAGTCTGAACAGGATTATAATATTTGTGGTGGTAATAATAAAGAGTACAAACAATATTATCTTTTCTAGAAGCTGGCTGAGGCCTATATTGATCAATATTTCCTTAGCAACGAAAGTACGACTGCGTGCGTCTGCAAAAGAGCAAAGTCTTCGTTTAAAACTGAACGCCGACAAAATATGCCTATATTCTTTTTAAAAATCTACTCCTTAAGATGCAGTAACACGAGTAACAATGAATACGGTGCTGAATTTATATGTTAAGCGTATGCTACCGGTGCTGAATTTGTTGCGCAAAATTGCTGCGTTGGAAAACAGAGCTAATGCTCTCGCACGTAATACCACATGCAACGCAAGAGCAAAAAAAAAAAGTAGTATACTTGGCTACTTTGTGCAACGGCGAAAATTTGCTATACGTGAACGGTAGTATTTTTTGCTCGGTCTCCGATAGTCGCACGTCAATACTCAGTGCCCAGGCTTGAAGGCTTGCCGGGCGCGCGCACAGTACCCATATTACCTCACCTTTGAACTACAGTGAGGAAATTTGAGACATGGAGAAATTTTTCATACTTTTTTGAATGCATACCGTAAGTTGTCCCTTGAGCCAATCGATTGAGAATAAGATTTATTTTCATGACTTCGTGTATTTGAACCCAATGATTCATAGTTTAAAGGGTTTGAAACAATAGAAAGTTTAGGAAATAATAACCTGGAAAAAATAACGTGTTCATGGTTCAAGTGTCCTCACTATGATTGACCAAAGTACATAACGCAAAAATCGGTTTCTTAAAAGGATACACGTTTGTACATGCAATCTTGTTCTAAAATTGCAGCGTTGAGTATACACTTAAGGCGTGGACACGCGATGCAACATTGCGCGTAACATTGCAGGCAATAATGTTGCTGAAGTAGGATGGTCTTCTACTTCAGCAACGTTGCGTGCAACAAATTGCGTCGTGTGTCATGGCTCGCAACATCAATTACATGCAACATTGCGCGCAATGCTACACCGTGTGTCCGTAGCTTTAGCTAAATATTTTACTGACATTATGCGAGCGTTTATAGTTGGAAAGCTATGTACATGTGTACACCGGATCAAAGGATGCCTGATTTACGATGCTTTGTATTACAGATATCTGGAAACCATTTTGGCATCCCAGGTCGAGTTACAGTTCGAGTTCATAATAATAACTAAAGGATTATAGAGGTTAAGAAATGTCGTGGCACTTGATTTTGAATGTCAAACTTACATACATCTCTGTTGCTTCATTTAATATCTGATTGCATGGTAGGACGGGCTTAAAAGTCGCTCAACTTGTAACGCAAAACTTGATTGAGTTTAGCAAAYTGAAAAACGAATTTTGGGTGTTTTATACCACTCTGCTCGGGACGAGACAAAATTCTTCGATTGCACGTTACGTCATCGCGACCATGTTGGTGCCATTTGACAAAATATTTCTCATTAGCATCCATTGTTAACGGTCACCACAATGGTCGCCATGTTTTTGTCTTTTGGCTCTCTTGGGAATGCTTGCAACCCATCAATGTTCTAGGGTGCTTACCATTCAACCGAAAAAAAACGCAGATTCCGATCGGAAAGTTCCGGAAAACTCGGTCTTCCGATTGAGGTAATCCCCTTTTCCCGCTCTTTTCGGTTCTTTCAGTAGACGCGTTTACCATTTTTCGGAAGTCCGAAAGTTCCCGCTCTTTTCTTTCCATTAGCGAATGAATTTCCAACCGGGTGGATTGGTTTAAATGGTAAGCTCCCCTGATCTTTCTCCCTCCGCAAAACCTAACATGCTAAATTTCAATGCTGTGTGACAAGTTGAACGACTGACTCCGTTCCCCCTTTTGCAACCACATCCTCTTTGGAATGATCGCAAACAAATGAAGATGTAGTTTGACATTGAAGTAAGCTTCATTCAAATCGTTGATTCCATAAACTGAGCCGCCCACTCTATAGCAACGATCACATGTGACAACTGGGTTTTAACTAGTTCCCATTCTCCTGTCCTACTGGCTAACTGGAGAGCGTCGCTGAGGCCTGGGAACGTGGCACTTGCATATGAATTGAAGATACTTGGAGCAAAGATGCTGTGCCTGCAATAAGAGAATAAAACCAAGAAAAAGAATGAGATAACTAAAAAAATCCAAACATGGGTCTTGCTCCCACTGAAAAGAAAAACTACACCCAAACCGACAAAAAAACGTTATCTATCTAACCAAGTATTTGAAAACACAACCACGCCAGTTTATGCTTTATACTTTTTCTACGTTTGCCCCCTTGGCATCCAATAATTGAAGATTGCCGCTGCATCAGCACAAAGGTCTACTGGAGACATAGAGCAGTTTTCGTATGACTGTGAAAAGCTCACGGCACGAACACGGTCGTGACACAGCAAGGGATACGCCAGACCAATCACATTGCTCGAGAATTTACTCTCCATCCAATCAAATACCCAGAACACGGCACGAACGCTGCACGGACATGGTCACGCCAAGGTCACAGCACTGTCGAAACCAATCATATTGCGCGAAAAAACAATAAGACATTTAAAATTCTAGAAAACTTCACGGTCACGGCACAGCACGCATACGGCACTGAGCTTTTCACAGTCATACGAAAACTGCTTTATACTTTTATGCTGTATGGTGGAAATAGATGCGAGACGTGCAATGAGAAGAAAGATCGATTCTTGTTGGTCTTTTTTCTTGACTTACCAATATAAGGGTCTCTCAGGTAGTCCCTCGGGATTCAAGAAGGTTTTCTCGAGGCCCATCAATCTATCGTTGATGGTGCGTAAAGCATCGGTACTGACGATACACGAAAAACAAAATAATATGAATGAAATCAGAGATAATGATGGTTTGTTAAATGGTACAAACATGGTGGCAATGACGTGCAATCGTGAAGAAATAGAAAACGCGCGCGCGTGCTGTGTGCAGTCATAAAGCACGCGGGAATTGGCAGAAGAATTGTTAGGAGAAGCACGACGCGTAGCGGAGTGCTTCTCGACACTTCTCAAGTGATCTGCCAATCCCAAAACACTTTATAACTGCACACAGCACAGCAAGTTTTTTATTTCTTTTATGAAATAATTCATTACAGCTATTTTATAAAAGAATATAGTAATGATGCATGACAATGAATAAGAAAGTGATCATGATTATGATGGTTATTGTTGATGCTAATGGCGTGTATCTGGTGCTGATGATATTTATGACAGTGATTATGATGATGATGATTGATCTTTACAGCAATATTTTTGGTTAGAATCTGAAGAGCGTTTCACTTACTCGTTTGTCTGGGTGTTATCTATCTTTGTTTGCATATATTTTACTCCTCTGCTAAATTTGTCTACAGCTTTAAAAAGATATTCTGAAAGGAAAACATATCTAAAATTAGCAAAGCAATGGTCAAAGGCGCCATTGTCTAGAGAATGATAAGAATGATAAGACAGGAATTAATCATGAGAATGTTTAACTAATTTTGAAAAGAAAAGAAAAATCTAGATATGGTGATCCAAGGCATTGAAGAAATTGAAAACGGGCGCGCGTATTGCGTGCAGTTATTAAGCACGCGGGGTTTGGCAGAACACAAGAGAGGTGTTAGGAGAAGCACGACGCGTTCGACGCGTAGCGGAATGCTTCCCGACACTTCTCGAGTGTTCTGCCAAACCCCAAGTGCTTTATAACTGCACACAGTACAGCAAGCAAGTTTTTTATTTCTTTTATGAAATACAAATTACAATAACCGTTATTTAAGATATGAATGACTGTGTGCTCTCATAAAGCACGCGCTCCCAACCAATCAGAACGCGAGAATTAATACAGTTATTTTAGAATATCCATGCGTGTAGCAAGAAGAGCCTTCCGTAAATATATCTACTGCATGCATGGCACAATCACCTTGGTAACGGTAGAGAGCCCCCTTACACCAATTCCTACTATCCTTTGACCAGATTCTTAATTCTTACCTAGAGAAATGGACTGATTATCTAACTGTTTTCCATAATCTTTCTTCAGTTTTAACACAGAGCCATTAATAACGCTGACGTAGTCGCCTAAACTAAATGGGATTATAGGACTTTCGGCTAGTAAGTAAACTGATGTCAACCACATTTTCGTTACGGCTAAATGAGTGTGGAAGAAAGGGTCCACGAATTTCTTGACGTAATTGAAGGTGTCGAAGAGAGAGTGGTATGTTGGATAGGTGGTCACGTTGTACATTTCCCTCTGAAAGACAAAAAGAGAGCTTAAATAATATTGTGAAAATGGATGGATGGATGGATGGAGGGTGGGAGAGTGGGAGAGATGGATGGAGGGATGGATGGATGGAGGGAGGGATGGAGGGATGGATAGAGGGTGGGAGGGATGGATGGAGGGAGGAATGGAGGGATGGATGGGTGGATTTCTGATTCCCTACCGTGTTGAACATATATCTCAGGTCGAAGGAAGGAACGCCAGTACGCAGGAAAAATGGGGCGTAATCACTGCCTGAACCAAGAGGGTTGATCCTGAGGAGAAAAATTGATAGTGAGCTAGAGATGTTATCAAGAAACACGATAAAAATGACAAGGAAACCGGGAAAAAACAACAACAAAAGACAAGCAATCATAGAAAATATAATCTCTGATAACCGAAGTATCCATGTAAAACCAAATTTGTATAGCCATAAATTATACGTCTAAATTTCGTAAAATCTGTGAGTTAGCCATGCCCTGACTTTGATCAGCCAATGCAGGGGTTGTTTCAGGGCTCAATCTGTGAGTTAGCCATGGCCTGACTTTGATCAGCTCAGAGGTTGTTTCAGGGTTTGATCTGTGGGTTAGCCATGGCCTGACTTTGATCATCCCAGAGGTTGTTTCACGGTTCAACCTGTGAGTTAGCCGTGCCCTGACTT